GTATTTAACTTATTGTTAGAATAAGTTACACATAGTATTTAGTTATTGTTAGAGTAAGCTACATAGTATTTAGTTATTGTTAGAGTGATTATTAGTAGGTACGTATAATGATATGCTAATAACACAATTCTGCTATCAGTGATATACACAGTCCTCGTCAGGAACGCATTAATGCACATAGATAATAAGCTAGCTAGCATAAACTATCACTTCGAATCGATTAGCATACAAATGATCGGTGTTTAGCGAACAAATGAAACGCGTGCATAATAAAGAGAATGAAAACGAGATAAAATACAAACAAATGCAAAGCTATTGCAAATAATCGAACGCAAAGAATGCATGGCTGTAAAACGGATATATATACACAAGAAATGTAATGTTTCCCCCGAATGTTTTTCAAATTATTGTAACAGTTCGTCGTTTTTCATTCGTAAAAATTTAAATTATCCGTGTAAAATTGCAATTAATTTTATTTAAAATTCATCATTAGAGTAATTTTCACATGTACCGATTTACTGAATCGTTCTAGCAAAAATTTTCTACATAAACACTAATTGAAACGCGTTTAAACTGCACGCGAACTCGATTCGAACCGCATTTAGTAACAAGTAGACTTGAAACACATCCGTCAACACAATCTAACATGTCTCGAGTCAGTAAAATGCGGCTTTAGTGCATGGCGCGTCGTATCTTAATTAACCGATGAAACTCTTATCTTGAAATTGCACGCAGTTTACGAAGGCTCAAACGATAACGTGTTGTTCCGCAAAAGTCGCGTTTAGCCGCCATTGACATAAACCGCCGCATAAACGGCAGCTCGACGACGACGACGATCCGCAGTTTAGCCACTGGCCGAAACGCGCCGTTGTCGGTGGCGGCGCTTTTCCCTTCCCCCTCCCCCCTACGGGTGCGACCGCAATCGCAAGTGAATTCTCAAACGAACAAGTGTCGATACAAAATACGGCGAACACTGACTCGTATTTCGACGATTAATCGTCCGAGTGTCGTGATACCGAGTTGGCACGGCGGCGTCCCGCCGTTGGCACATCGTACATCCGCGAAAGATCGAAATTGTTCAACCCGCGGTCGGTCTAGTGTCCAAACAGAATGGAGTGTCATTTCAGTTAACACATTAATATACTGAAATAATACAGCATAAAGTACATATCGGAAAAGTTGTGAAGTGGCTCGACACACCGGTTGACATTTAAAGCTTTGGATATAACGTTATTCCAGTTAATATACATTTTCCACCAAATACTCTATTATATAGAGTACATGTTAATTAAAAATTTATATATTTCATAATCATTACATATTGTAATTCTACATATGTAATCAGTTATGACTTATAATTAACTCTCTAATGTGATTTAGATTAAGAATTTAACAGAGAATTACAGGAAACGAGATGTAATTGATTAAAAAGCTAAACGTCTGTCCTTACGACGTCCGTCTATGGAAATTAAAAAATAACATATAATTTCCATATCTTGAAATGATAATTTAAATATGGCATATCTTGAAATGAGAATGTAAACGTAATAATTCACATTCAGTTGAGTGAATCGTTTTAATTCTATACATATTTCGAAAGAATAAAGATTCGCTACTGACCCTATCGAGCCTCCAAAAGGGCTCTGCGGTCTCGGTATCGGTCACCGGTATTTTGATACACAAATCGATCGGTGTAAATCAGCGATGACCGAGATAGCACTCCCGATAGATTCGGAACAGGGACGGCAGACAGAGCGCGGAGGTCGCGGCAAAATGTTTCGAGGTAAAAAGCGGATGACACGATCAAGATCGCGTGACCGTCGCGCAATGTCGACATAAATTATTTATGAATTACAGCGCCCGGTCATCAGTGCGATAGTGTGGGTGAGTGAGATCTGAGGTATCGTGCACCCGTGCACACGTGTTTACGTATGTATGAGTGTGCTTCCGTGCAAGCCTTCGTGCGGTGCGACTTGTAGAAGCAGCATTCTTGAAGGTAACGTTCGTCATCGTACTCGCAATGATACTCGATCAAAAAGAAGGAGACGAAGGAGGAGAAGGAGAAGGAAGGAGGGGGCGGGGTAGAGAAATTTTTCTCAGAAAGAGAAAAATTTCGTGCGAGAATCTGAAACAACCGCAAAGTTTCTCCATAAGTTAATCCCCGAGCACACGTGGTTACGTGCGAATGGTTTTCTACGTGTGGCGAATACACAGGAAATGCTAACTTCATACGTCTTTTATCAACCGCGATCGATCATGGATTTTCTGCATCAGTAAATATAGCGATAATAGCAGTAGTAAAACAATTCAGTTAACAATTTATATTCAAAGTAATTTAAAACCGACGCCTCAGCTGTTTTTCAATCAGAAATTAGAAAAAAGCTGAGCATAAGGAATGTGTGTGTGTGTTTTATTCGATTACAGTTACAATATATAATCTTGCATTAATGAAAATTTGTTTGAGGATTTATAATTAAAGTTTTGACATTCAAAGTAGACATCTGTCTCTGATAAGAATCGTCTGACAAAATCTGATTAAGCAGTTTGTAAATAGCTTATGACTGATACGTGCACGCGACTTTTCAAGAGCCACGATACGATAACGCGAGGCGCAATTTCATTTCAAATACAAAATAATTATAACAGAAGCGTACAGAGAAAAAGATAGTTATGGTAACGCGATGCGATTCATCGCAAATTGCGCGTTCCGCAAATTGCACCGAATGCGAACACGAAATCGCACTTAGAAGGCATGCAATTAGCACGATTACGGCACGGTATTAATGCTACTTTCAAGTATATTATAAAAATACTCATTGTTGACCGCGATAGAGAGATAAAGCATCTCTGCGAACCGACCGTGCACGCAATTTTTTCACGCTCGAAGAAACACGTCGCGATTGTCTCGAAAGAAATGACCGTGTAACTTTTATTTCGTGATTAAATTAAAATCCGCAGCTTGAAAAGATGGAAATCTCTCCAAAGTGCATTACGTGAGATATGTATATGTACATATACAAATATAGGAACATATAATCTATGTGCCTTTCAGGTTCTTTATTTTTCTGTATCGCTATGTCCAGTATAACAATGACGTTATTCTCTCGCGGAATGTTTTCACCACGAGAGATTTATCGACACAGGTCTCTTCGGTCGTCGCGGAAAAAAAAGGAAAGATTTTAAAGCGGCTTACGCGTTACTAAAAAATTTTATCTGGAGACAATGTTCTGAAACGCTCGCTGGACCGAGCGGTGCGGATGCTGGCACGTTGTTTTTCTCGCGCTTTAATCTCCAGATTTGTGCTTCCGTATCCACGCTACAAAACTGCAGGACTCCTCGTGAAATGTAAACGTAACGCGGTGAGAAAAGAAATATTTCGCTCGTAGCGAGCGATACAACGGCGTATTTTGTCAAGCGACGCTTCGACACGCGTTTCAATTTGTTACGACACGCGCAACAACAAGGAGCGTCTGTTTCGCACGTCTGGAGTACTAATTACAACTTAAATTAGAGAGGTCCCTTGGCAATGAATACAAGAATGCGTGCGAAACGTCGCATGTAATATTCCTGCTACTTTACGTAATCATAGGTACAAAAATGAATCAAATATGAACTGTGGCGAGAATCAAGTAATTTTGCGATAATTAAAATTCTCGAATAATAATGATAATTATTCTTTCACATCTAGCATGAATTTTAAAAATGTTTGCACAGGTTATTTTAACGTTCAATGTCTAAAAAATGTTTAGCGTATACACGGAGAGGATTTTTTTTTTAAATTTACCCTGAAAATCATGTTAATCATGGAACAACACAGTATTTTGATAAATTTTATATAATTTTTTTTCTATTTTTTTTTTACTGTGCACTACAATAAATTTATTGTAGTATATATCAAAAAAATAATGAAAACATAAAATTCGTCGAAATGTGTTGTCCCACAATTAACATGATTTTCAGGGTAAATTTTAAAATAAAATTCTCTCCGTGAATCTTCAAGTAGCATATAAAGGTAATATTATCAGTACAGCGATTAATTCCATAGATAAGTCCAGTGAATAAAAATGATCGATATTATTTACGGTATTGGGTAAAGAGAGAAATAGTCGGCGAATTCACTCAGATTCGAAGACGAATTAACTACTCGTTATCAACAGTTCGCATTGCCGGCGAGGGCTATTTTTCGTTCCCGACGATATATACGGGGTGATTTCTATCGGAACGGAGTCGGACTATTACGCGCAGGCAGAATGGGGAATTGGAACGAGCAGATTCGTTCCAATGGGCCGACCGTACTACAATCGGAGCCTGGATTTTCTCCAAGACGAGGACTTTCGTCGGTCGGGTAAAAAGAAGAAGAGGAAAAAAAAAGCGGGAGAAAAGTTTTCCGTCCCGCTGAAAACCGGACAGGTATTAAGAAAGCACTCGTCGCAATCGTACGAACTTTGCCGCGCCATTTCGGAGATTGGATTCTTATTGAGGATTTCATCGTATCAATCGTCGAGTTTTGGCGACGAGTCCTTCCGCGATCCGAAGGGATTCGGTTGCCGATCTCCCATAAATAAGCAAAACATGCAGGAAAAGATCATATAAAAAACGAGCATCTTCCAGCTAACTGACAATATTCAATATTCGCAAAGAAACTCAATTTCGAAGAAAATTAACTTTGCAAAAACTTTCCCTCATAACTATCAATTTTACTGCAATATTACATTTCACTTCCTTTTTTTTAACTGTTAACACAATATAAACATGTTTGCGCTATAAATATGTTTTTTTATAATTACTACCTTTATAATTACTTACTAAATAATTTCTTGTATTTTTTAAAAAGTACATCCATGTAAATTAAAATTGTAGAACCATATAACCGTATAACCGTATAATTTCAATTTATTTCAGACGAAAAAATATTTGATACGGTTCCGAGTTTTTATTCGAATTTATGCAAAATTCTTAGTAAGAGTTTAGTAAAAATAACATGAAGAAATCGTACTCACTTTAATAAGAAAACAAAACGTCCACGTGCCTCAGATGCAACCGTTCTTCTATCTGAAACAAAACAAGGAATCCAAAATGAATAAAATCATGAAAAAGATAAACACGCAAAATATAAAATATTTGTTTATGTCATTATACAAATATGATACAAAACAAATGCTTAAAAAGACATTATTTAACTGTTAATTACATTTTACGATTATCAAAAGAGACAAGTAACCTAGATTTATCACTGAATATACAAGTTCTGTGACAAAATCAAAACTTCTTAAAAATAACAGAAGCAATTTCCGTTGCCGTTTTATCTTATCATTGTTATATCATCGCAAGATATTTTGATTCATGTAAATCTTTTCCTGTGCAATATAAAATTCATTACTTTTGCGCAAATATTTAATTATTTAAATATTTAATCAATTATACTCGATAAAACATATAATAAATATGATAAAATATTCGTTTATCTGAAAGATTGAAATGCAGAAAGTGGCAAGTTATTTTTCTTGGGAGAAGAAATAAACGACGTCGATTTAGTATTTTAGTTCGACTTATGATTCAATCGTTATTACATAACCTGATCGAGAGACGATTTTTTCTTACACAATGTTGCCATCGCTGATTCTTGCGATTAGAATGTGAAACCGCAGGCCAGAATAAAATAATGCAACGGACAATGTCCGAAGGACGTGATCCCAGCAGCGGGAAAAATTGCGAATAAATAGCAGTTATAAATGCGCGCTATCGTCACATTATTATGCCACTTTCGCATGGCATGACTCGCGCGAAATAACGCCGCGTAACTACATGCAGCAGCGAGATAGCTTCTGCGCGCGTGTGGGAGAAAAAGATTTTAATAAAGTACGAGTTCAAGACTCGCGATGTAAAAATGGCTTGGAATGACTAACTGAAACGTGATGTTGAAATGACGATGGAGAATTTATGGAAGTTATATGTTCCGCGGAATTATTTTCGCGGGAGAAAGAAAGAAAGAAAGAAAAATTCAACTAACTCGCACATTTAGACACTTCAAAAATATTCTTTTATAGTTAAATTTAAATTGAAATTAACGTTCCTATTTCTGATCGTTTGGATAAAATAGTAATTGATATAATTTTTCATTTATATATATCAGTTCGAATAGGACGATGACGTTCAAAACCAAATAAAACGAGTTGTAGCTGCAACATGAGCAGTATGATAATAGTTGAGGATTAAAGCGTAAACGAGGGTAAAAAAAAATCGACCGTAAAGCTCGTAATGACAACACAGGCATGCTATTTTTTCCCCCAATGCCGCCTACACGACGACCTGTATTTTGAACAGGGAAAAAGTAAACGCACGGTAAATCCCTCGGACTTATACGAGGAGTACGAGTTACACAGAGCCATTCATAGAGTCAACAAAATTTATTTGCCAGACGAATGGCCTTTACCTCCTACTTTTGATAGATTACACGAAGCCTCCCACGTATCTCCAATAAATTTATAGAGAGTCGAAAAAATATACGAATATTCGTGCTTCGACATGATCTGAATACATGAATTCTTAACGTGCGGATATTAAAATTTTTCATGGTACACCGGCGGAGTTTCCTATCGCTCTTTTTTAGACGAAAAAAGGACACGCGGGAAAAAACTTGAGGTTTCCGCGCTATTTTCGTGAAAATGCGAAATTCCAAATTTCAAATATTTAACTGAAGCTTACAGAAAAATTTAAATTTATTTCTGTGTATTTAATATCGTGAGATCGTCCGTTGGAAAATAAATAACTGTGAAACACGAAATTTCAATTCATTTTGCTTTTAAAAAGGAACTCTCCCGCCTCTCGAGTACAACCAAAACCCGTACTAATGCGATTCTCACGCGAAACATGAACGTCGTTCTATTGGGCGACGCGATCGCGTCCCTTGTCGCAAGCAGATTCAATTAAACGTCGGGCATCACACAGACAAGCCAGTGCGAGTCGGAACCGACTTCGATTTTCGGTGACGGTACATTATCGAACAAAAGTCCGAGTTACGTCCAATTCAAAGCGTCTCGCCAAAAATCCTTTTAACAAAAGCGCGAGAAAAATTATATTGGATCTCCCATGGCTTAAACGCGTGCAATTTCAGTCGCAAATTTCTGAGAGGATTTAAGGGTAGAAAAAAAAAACAGAGTGGCGAATAGTAATTTTTCTTTAATTTCCTCTCGATAAAAGACTTAGCGATTAATAGCTGCATTCGAAATCTTTGTAATATAATTACAGAGAGCGAATCAAAGACGTGAAAATTAAAACAGATAAATAACGACAGTTTTCGGATAAACGATACTTCTTCCTCACAATACATATCGATTTTCAGCCAGCTAAATTCGTTTTTTTTTTATGCTTTCGATGAGCGATTTACAAGCCATTTCGATTTGGCGATATTGCGCGCACAGGAAAAGAGAAGGGAGGGGGGATGAACGAGAATACCCCTTTTTATTGCGACATGTTTTAATGGACAAATCGACGGCGGGACGATACGTGATAAACAAACAGATCTTGGACAGGAAATTCGATTCGAGAAGTCGTACCCCAATGCACTTTATTCATGACGCTTAGCTCCGAACGTCGAGGAGATATTCTCTTCGTTCACGACGTGTTTTATCGCGTAATCAAGCCAAAAGCGAAATCTACGGTCTTCCGAGCTTTCCCATCTCCCTTCCCCGTCCTCCTCTCTCCCTCCCTTCCCCCCTTTTTCTCTCTCCTTCGGAGTAAAGAGAGAGATAGAAACTAAAGACGAACTGAAAACGAGAAACGTTCTTCGTTACACGTTTCAAACCGTTCCTCACCTTTCAAATCACCTCTTTGGGAATAGTAACATAAGAAACACAAATTGCCCTTGAAAATTATTTCAAACGTGCGCCACTGCAATCGAAAAATATAACTACCATAAAATATAAGAATTTTTTGAAAAATTTCCATTTTTGTGTTACCCATTAATCTATGGATTGTATTTAATGTGGATTCTTTGTAAATGAAAACAAAGCCATTTAATGTCAAATACTGCATATTCAGCATCGCAGTATTAATTTAGTGACTTGGAAACTATGATAATATAATATTAATAGCAGTAGCCTTTATCGTTAAATAATTGTTCATCGAAATGATTTAAAATTATTTAAAACAGGGCTTTCCAAAGTATGTCGCGACCTACTATAATCATAAATCGATATTTGGTGGTACGGAAAAATTTTAGAATGTTAAATTACATTTCATTACTTTGCATAATTTTCAAATTTACCCTTTTTTTCACGACTTAAATTAAGTAAATGCGTGAAATTGGCTTTTCAACAATGGTAGGAATTAAAATTATATTGCGAAATAAGTTACAATTATCAAACTCCCTAAAAATGACTATCATATCAATATCGACATTTAAGGTTATTATTAATAGACATAGGAAACAAGCGCATTCTTCACGTACATCTCGTACATGTGAAAAATAGATTTAATAGATTAATAAAAAAATTAAAAAAAAAAGAAGTAAAATAAAGTATAGTTAATTTTCACCCCCTCCCACTCGCTTTTCCATATTCACTAAAGTTAGATTGTAATGTTTCCTCTTCTAAAAAATGGGTCGCGATTCACAAAAGTTTGGAAAATCCTGATTTAAAAGAAATATTTCCTTGAAATTTAGGAATTATACAAATAATGTATATCCGCCCCTCCTCTCTAGTCGATACTAATATTTTGATCTTATATATTAAAATATTGCTTAACAATTTAATATTTAACACTCATTCTTACAATTTTTTTATATTCATTTCTTCACATCATTATTTTAGACAGTATCTATTTCATTTGCGATTCTTGTTCAAAACACCATGTAGATCAAAGACTACCCTTGGGTACGACTCAACGAAATCGAGTTTTCGTCCGCTTTATCCGCAGCTTTTGCCGATCGCTCGATGGAACGTGAAAACCCGCGAGAGGCATCGGTTATACAGAAGAACGGCTTCCGCTGTGTCACGAAGGTTGGACCGGTTCCAAGTCGCGAATCGATTGACCCCCAAACCGATCGGACACACAGGGCGTGCAGAACCTTCGCTCACGACTTCTCCGATCAATCCAAAGTCAAGCTTTTTTTTAAATAAAAACCGTCGAGAAATCAATAATATTTAAAATATAAATAAAACTAAATCAGAGTACCGATATACACAGTAAAAATTAAATAAACTCCATTTAAATAAAATTATATTTTAGTTTAATTACTAAAATATCGATTATTGCCAAGTAATTTATATTTGAAATTAATAGGTTATCAAAAAACAATATAAATAAAATATATCAGAGATACTTGATAAAATTAAATAAATTTTATTTAAGAAAAATTATATTATATGGCATTTGATTTGAAACATCGATTATTGTGAAATAATTAATATTTGAAATTAATAGTTTACAAAAAATAATATATCGATATATAAATAAAATCTCGATTAAAGATTAATTCACGATTAATCAGAGACAATTCGGTAGATTTGGACCACCCTGTATATTCTGCACCCTTCGTGGATAACAGAACGAAGAAGCGATAGAGGAGATAACTGCATCGCGCAGCAGCGACCTGTCAGATGGTAGCATGGTCTGACATTTACATGCAGCGGAACAATCGTACGTCATCTCTGCGAATTGTAAAGTAAAAGTTAGCTTCGTAACAACACGCGCATCGTGCATCAACTTTCGATTACACAGGGTTTCACGAAGCGAATGGAACGCGGATATGCAACTCTCACTCTTATGATAGTTTAAGCGGTGACTACAATGAGACTTAAAACTAAAGATTTAAGATAATTGACCAATCATAGTCGATTATTCATCTCACGTGAGAAGCATAATCGATTGTGATTGGTCAATTTTCTTAAATCTTAAATCTTAAGTCTTAAGTCTCATTGTAGACGCCGCTTAAGGTGAATTGAAGTCGTTAATTTATCCAATTAGTTCTACAGATAAAAATTTAATTCTAATTTTTCTTTAAAAAAAATAAAAATAAAACGATCTTTTATTTCGTATCACGCTTCTCAGAG